TCACTTTGCAAAGCTGGATTACTCATGACCTGTGCCTCCTGGTATTATGTGATTCCTCAATAAAATTGGTTTAACATGAATGGATTTTAACAACCCCTAAGAGTTTAAAGCAATAGGACCTGAAGTGGGAGGGGACTCAGGGCCCCCCAAGATAGTAGTGAAGAGGGAGGGATTTCGAGGCCCCAGGACAGTAAGAAAGCAGTCACCCCTCCATCTCTGGAGACTGCCTCCCCAGCATAAGGACCCCAAGGCTGGGGAAGATGCAGGCCTGGATCCCTGAACAAAACTCACTGCACTGCAGGGCTCCTAGAAGGCCAGAGGAGACGCTGAGGCCTGCTGGGGTATAGCTGCTCCCTCTAGTGTCCAGTGGCCCAGAGCAGCCATAGGCCATCAGGCCAGCCCAAGGCTGGCCAGCAACAGGGAAGGAAACCCATGCATCACCCCTGCACCTGGACCACCCCCCCCCCCCCAACCCCAGCCCAACAATCAGCATCCCAGGCCTGAGCTCACAGGTCACCTGACAGCCACCCTCTGTTCAGTCTCACCTGCAGGCCAGCAGAGTGCGCAGAGGGGGACACTGCGTGCAGGGCGAGGCTCCTGGGCCACACCCAGCCTAGAGTCCAAGTGAATGACCTCAGATTCTCAGTGGTATGAACTCCTCAGCCAGCTCAGCCTTCTACGAGTCCTCCCCTGCCCCCACAGGAGTCTGTGCTCACTCCCTCCTCACCCCGCCCAGGACTGCCAGGGCTTCCAGATACATACAGGTGGACCATCCAAAATGACGAGTCTTTCCGACTCGATGCCTAGTCTCAGCAAGACACCCCGCTGCTCCTTCACCTAGACGGCTGCCCCGCAGGGGCTATGAGGCCTCCCGCTGCCCTCCAGCCACCCTCCCCCCATGGCCTCTGGACCCACTGAAGACGGGGCACCAAGGTTTTTCTGTCCTGCTAGCCACAGCGAGAAGCCCACATGAGGATGCCTGTGGCTCTTCGGTGCAAGCGAGCCCCAGACAAGGGCAGGGCCTGTGGGCTGCCACCTTGTCAGAGGGCTGTTCACGTGTGGCCTCTGCCTCCTGCCTGGCGTCCCTCTGTCAGCAACTACCACTCACGTGCAAGCGGGCAGGGCAGCCCAGCCTGAGCCACTGGCCCAACGGCAGGGAGGAGGCACTGCCCCCAGGGCACAGGCCCTCCTCCCGCTGGGAGCCTCCAGGATTGCCATGGCTCCCGGGCAGGGCTGAGCTGCCCCCTACTCTTCCCAGGCGCTCCTGCTGAGCTAGTCAGCCAGACAACCACATACCCAAACAAGTGTGGGCCGATAGGCAGAGAGAGTGCCTGCTCGCAGGGGACATGCCACCTGCAAGGCCCAGAAACTGGCCCTGGATTGAGATAAAGGGGCAGAAAAGGGCACTCTCCCAAGAGTCAGCACCACAGTTATCCTGTAGCCTGTGAGCCCAGCCTCTCAGCCCACCTGGCCGGCTGCTGCACCCACACTTCCTGTAGGCCTACAGATCCACTGGCCATGGGCCGCAGACTGTCTCCAACAAGACTTAGGGTGATTGGACACCTTAAGCAGGAGAGCAGGTGTGGCCAGTGCCTGGCTCTGCCCTCAGGGGGATGGGCAGAGAATGGTTGGGGGTGGAAGGTGCCCAGCAAGGTCTGTGGGAAAAGAGGACCAAGTCTCAGCCAGCAGTGGCTCTACTAGGTCACCAGCAAAGTCCAGCCTGTCACAGGAAGTGCCTCTGACCAGCACCTGTCGTGTTCACATCCCTATTTATAGCAAGGCCAGGCAGTTCTCCAGTGCTGGCCAGCAACCTGCCATGCTCCCTAAGTATGTGCCCTTGGGAGCCCACTAGCCCATGGGGGACAGAGCTGAATGGACACGCTGAGCCTCGGGCTTTCTCCTGCTCAGACCAGTGCCCCTGAAGGAAGAGAGTGAACAGAGAAGAGCAGTCCTCCCCTCCGCACTCCACCCCAGGTGCCCAGGTGGGTCCTGTGCCACAGCACCTCCATCCAGCCTGGCATCACCCCAGCTGGGTCTGAGCAGGGCCCCCAACAATGCCCCCTGCTTGCCCTCCTGGCTCCCGGACCTTGATGCTCGGGCACAGCATTGTAGGACACCCGTGAAGCAGCCCAGAGGCTTTCCAGGCCTCTCGGCTACTCTGCCACCTGCCTCCCTGCCTGGTCTTTGTCATTGTTGTCACCAAGACCCAGGACATGCCCATTCATGCTCCATGTGACCCCCAGGTCCCCAGCCCTTCCACAATCAGGGCTCACTATCTCACCTCAGAAGGTCTCCCAGGGTGTGAAGGGAGGGGATGGCAAGTGGGAAATAGACCCACTAGGGTCAGGGGAAGGGAGGGGATAGGGAGGAAAGGAACTCTTGTTTCAGTGAGAAATTCACCCAGAGCGCTCTTCCTTTTTCTCCTTTTGGGAGAAACACCGTACTCTAACATCTTCCTCAGAGCTTACAACCCAGGCACCTGGTGGCAACAGAAGCCCCAAAGGCTGTCACTGCAAAGGTTTATGATGACCCTGAGGGTTTCCCAGGTGGTGCGATGCTAAAGAATCCTGCCAATGCAGGAGACAAAGGAGATGGGGGTTCCATCCCTCAGTGGAGAAGATCCCCTGGAGTAGGAAATGTAACCCACTCCAGTACTCTTGCCTGGAAAACTTCATGGACAGAGGTGCCTGATGACCAGCAATTCAAGGGGTCGCCAACAGCAGGACACAGCGAAGTGCGAACACAGAGGCACTCAGGGCATGAGCAGCTGGCACTTACCTTAGCGTATACACCAGCCTCTTGTCAGCATCCCAAATGCTTAGCTGCTGTTTCTCAGGTCACAATTTTGTTCAGCCACCAAGATTTCCTGTTGGAGATTGGAATCCATGGCTGACACAGAGCACAGCAAACCAAACAGGTAGCCGGTCAGCAGGTCTGGGGAAAAATGGGTTTTAAAAGGCAGTCTTACACTTTTAGCATTTACCACTCCAACCAAATGGGTGGACACCTGGGTCTGCTCTATTGGTTTACTAGTTTCTCTTTGGAAGGCAGAAGTATTTCTAAAGCACACGTTTAGACAATATAGAAATAAAGTATTTGCACTATTTTGATTATTTTATGAAAAAAACTTTAAAAAGCTGCAAAGAGTAAATCCCATTTAGCTAGGAAGTTGGCAAACTGTCTTTATTGAGAAGAATCAACTTGGGTGCTGAATGCTGGCCACCAGAGGCTGCCACTCCTTTCTGGGCACCTCCGGCTGGTCTGATGGAGTTTAAATCCGCACCATGTGTGGCACAGTCAACTGGCAAGACTTGGCGAATCACAGGCTCCAGTCATGTGGCAGCTCTGGCTGAAGCTGAGGTGGACATCCTGAGTGGCCAGGGAGCCTGGCCTGTCAGTCACCTGCTGGAAGAAGGCCTAAAGGAAGTAGAGGGAGGCCATCACCCTAATTCTGGCGACCCAGACAGAAGCCCTCAGGCACTCTGCAGACAGGGCAGTCACCACCCAACCACTGCACAGGGCCAGTCTTGGGCAGGAGCATGACATTCAGATACTTGTTGCACCTGGAGCAACAGGCCAGAGGGAAAGGGAGAGGAGGGGACCCGCCAGGAAGGACCTGGTGTGCCAGTGTTTCCACTGTAACTCTGCTGCAACCCCTGCCCCGCTGATGCCCACCAGGAGCCTGTCTGGCACCTTTACTTATTTTCTCTATTGGTTCTGAACTCAAAAGGAGAGAGGCAGGATTATTCACACCCCAACACCCTAGACACATTCAAAAACAAGCAAAACCTCTCTGACACGGCATCAGACAAAATCTGAGCCCCTCAAGAGCTCTCTTATCTAGCTGTCTAATCGTCCCCCGCCCGCCTACAGACAGGTGGGCTGCAGCCTGAAGCCTGGAGACTTGGGGGTTGGCCTTTAACCTTTGGCTCAAGCCCTGAGCCATCAGACCCTGCGGCGGCGGTGGAGGCGGGGTGGGGGGGCGGGGGAATGCCAAGATGCACAATCAGCGCCTCGCTGGTTTGTCTACACGCCCATTCCCGGCCCACGCTCATGACCCCAGAGCTGCCCCAAGGGCCTGCCTCCTACCCTGCAAGGCTCCGAGGGTCTAGGGCCGCCGGGGTAGGGACCGGAGGGCTGGCGGACCCGGCTCAGCCGACGTCAGCGCCCAGCGCTGCGCCTTGGACTCCAGCAGCTGGCCTGCGGGGGGGCGGGGCTGGACAGGCTGAGCCGGGCGCCCACCCTGAAAGTGACCCCTTCCTCACTCGTTCGGGTGCGTCCCGCCCGTCATTCGTCACCTTCCTCGGGAAACCTCCCCAGGGCCCCGCCGCTGCCGACCCCGGGCCTGGTGGCCCTGTCGACCCTTCCACTTGCCCGGAAGTTTGCGTCCGGGCCCTCTGCGCCTAGGCTCCGGGGGCCTGAGAAGGGCCGAGTCTGTCAGTCGGTCGGCTGCGGCCTCAGTGTGTGCGGTGGCCAACCCGCGAGCTAGACTTCTCTGAGCCAGCCAACCTGCCAGGTGCTCAGCTGTGCCACGCAGCGCCAGAGCCCACTGGCTGAGGCCGCCCGAAGCCCCCGGCGCCAGGGGCTCAGGGGCCAACGCGAGGCCTGCCGGGACCCGTAGTCCGCAGCCCCCTGGGACCACAGCCGAGGGGCGGGCCCGAACCACAACTCCCAGGAGGACCAGCAGAGCCGTGACGTAAGAGGAGTGAGGGCTGAGCTACGGCCCTAGCCCCGCCCCGACAGGGAGGGGAGCCGCTAGCCTTGCCTCCGCGAGAAGGATTCGGGTCCGCTCTCGCGTCTGACAACGTGTGCACACGTCGTGAGACGAATGCAGGCTGCAAACTACGGCAATTCTCGTGCCTCTCAACGCGTGGGGCTGCGGCCAGGGAGGCGTGGGGACATTGGCACCCCAGGCGCCCGGCTTTGGAAGACTGCGCACGCGTAGGCCGGGAAAGAGAGGAGCAGACCACTACGCCCCTGCGGCGGAGGGGCGGGGCCAGATGCGGAAGTGCGTCACCCTCGCCTGGCCCTGCGTGGCGCAGCTGGTTTCAGAGCCGCGTTGGGTTGCTGTGGAGACTGTTGGCTGAGCCTTCTGGGTGTAGCGATGAGGCGTTTTCACAACTTTTTGAACTTGATATATTTTAAAATCAGAGTTACGCCAGTGCATGGTGTGTGTGTGTGTGTGTGTGTGTGTGTGTGTGTGTGTGTGTGTGTGTGTGTGTGTGTGTGTGTGTGTGTGTGTGTGTGTGTGTGTGGTTTTAATTCTCGCAGAAATGAAGACAGTGAAAAACATCTGTCACATGCCAGTCTCCCCCAGAGGCAAATACTTCCGACAGAAACCTCTACGTTTCTCAGCCAGAGAAGACTAGTTTTTGATGTATTAAATTTAGACATTTTGGGGACTTCCCTGATGGTCCAAAGCGAAAACAGTGCCCAGTTGTGGATGTGACTGGTGGTGGAACTAAAGCCTGATGCTGTAAAGAACAATACTGCATAGGAACCTGGAATGTTAACCCATGAATCAAGGTAAATTGGAAGTGATCAAATAGGAGATGGCAAGAATGTACATCAACATTTTAGGAATCAGTGACCTAAAATGGACTAGAATGGGCAAGTTTAATTCAGATGACCATTGTAACTACTACTGTGGGCAAGAATCCCTTAGAAGAAATGGAGTAGCCCTCATAGTCAACAAAAGAGTCTGCAATTCAGTACTTGGGTACAATCTCAGAAATGACAGTATGATCTCTGTTCGTTTCCAAGCAAACCATTCAATATCACAGTAATCCAAGTCTATGCCCCGACAGCTAATGCTGAAGAAGCTGAAGTTGAACGGTTCTTCTATGATGATCTACAAGACCTTGTAGAGCTAACACCAAAAAAAGATGTAATTTTCATCATACAGGACTGTATTGCAAAACTGGAAAATCCAGAGATACCTGGAGTAACAGGCAAGATTGCCTTTGGGGACAAAATGAAGCAGGGAAAAGGCTAACAGTTTTGCCAAGAGAACACACTTGTCATAGAAAACACCCTCTTCCTAAACATAAGAGAGAGAACTCTACAAATGGACATCACCAGATGTCAATGCCAAAATCAGATTGACTATATTCTTTGTAGCCAAAGATCTAGAGGCTCTATACAGTCAGCAAAAACAAGCCCAGAAGCTGACTGTAGCTCAGATCATGAACTCCTTATTGGCAAATTCAGACTTAAATTGAAGAAAGTGGAGAAAACCACTAGGCCATTCAGGTATGACCTAAATCAAATCCCTTATGGTTGATTATACAGTAGAGGTGACAAATAGATTCAAGGGATTAGATCTGATAGAGTGCCTGAAGAACTATGGATAGAGGTTTGTGAAATTCTACAGGAGGCAGGGATCAAGACCATCCCCAAGAAAAAGAAATGCAAAAAAGCAAAATGGTTGTCTGAGGAGGCTTTACAAATAGCTGAGAAAAGAAGATAAGCAAAAGGCAAAGGAGAAAAGGAAAGATGTACCCATTTGAATGCAGAGTTCCAAAGAATAACCAGGAGAGATAAGAAAGCCTTCCTCATACATGTAAATCCATGGCTAATTCATTTCAATGTATGACAAAAACCACTGCAATGTTGTAAGGTAATTAGCCTCCAACTAATAAAAATAAATGGAAAAAAAATTAAAAAAATAAAATTAAATCAAAAGGGAAAAAAAAAAAAAGAAAGCCTTCCTCAGTGATCAATGCAAAGAAAGAGACGAAAACACAATAGGAAAGACTAGAAGGAACATTTCATGTAAAGACGGGCACAATAAAGGACAGAAACAGTATGGACCTATCAGAAACAGAAGATATTAAGAAAAACTGGCAAGAATACACAGAACCATACAAAAAAGATCATGACCCAGATAACCACGATGGTGTGATCACTCACTTAGAGCCAGACATCCTGGAATGCGAAGTCAAGTGGGCCTTAGGAAGCATCACTACACACAAAGCTAGTGGAAGTGATGGAATTCCAGTGGAGCTATTTCAGGTCCTGAAAGATAATGCTGTCAAAGTGCTGCACTCAATATGCCGGCAAATTTGGAAAACTCAACCTTGGCCACAGGACTGGAAAAGGTCAGTTTTCATTCCAATCCCAAAGAAAGGCAATGCCAAAAAATGTTCAAACTACTGCACAATTGCACTCATCTCACATGCTAGGAAAGTAATGCTCAAAATACTTCAATCAAGGCTTCAACAGTACATGAGCTGAGAACTTCCAGATGTTCAAGCTGGATTTAGAAAAGGCAGAGGAAGCAGAGATCAAATAGCCAATGTCTGTTGGATTATCGAAAAAGTAAGAGAGTTCCAGAAAAATATCTACTACTGCTTTATTGACTACGCCAAAGCCTTTGAAGTCAAAGTCCACTTGACTTCAGACTCCAGGATGTCTGTCTCTAAGTGATCACACCATCATGGTTATCTGTATCATGAAGATCTTTTTTGTGGAAAAATTTAAAGAGATGGGAATACCAGACCACCTTACCTGCTTCGTGAGAAATCTGTATGCAGGTCAAGAAGCAACCATGAGAACTGTACATGTAACAACAGACTGGTTCCAAATTGGGAAAGGAGTACGTCAAGGCTATATATTGTCACCCTGCTTATTTAACTTACCTGTGGAGTACATAATGTGAAATACTGGGCTGAATGAAGCATAAGCTGGAAACAAGATTGCCTGGAGAAATATCAATAACCTCAAATATGCAGATGACACTACCCTATGGCAGAAAGTGAAGAGGAACTGAAGAGCCTCTTGTGAAAGTGAAAGAGGAGAGTGAGAAAGCTGGCTTAAAACAACATTCAAAAAACAAAGATCATGGCATCTGGTCCCATCACTTCATGGCAAATAGATGAGGAAACAGTGGAAACTGTGACAGACTTGACTTTTTTGGGCTCCAGGATCACTGCAGATGTTGACTGCAGCCATGAAATTAAAAGATGCTTGCTCCTTGGAAGAAAAGCCATGGCAAACCTAGACAGCATATTAAAAAGCAGAGACATTACTTTGCTGACAAAGGTCCATCTAGTCAAAGCTATAGTTTTTCCAGTAGTCATGTATGGATGTGAGAGCTGGATCATAAATAAAGCTGAGCATTGAAGAATTTAGGCATTTGAACTGTAGTGTTGGAGAAGACTTCAGAGTCCCTTGGACTGCAAGGAGATCCAACCAGTCCATCCTAAAGGAAATCAGTCCTGAATGTTCATTGGAAGGACTGATGCTGAAGCTGAAGCTCCAGTACTTTGGCCACCTGATGCAAAGAACTGACTCATTGGAAAAGACCCTGATGCTGGGAAAGATTGAAGGCAGCAGGAGAAAGGGACAACAGAGGATGACATGGTTGTATGGCATCACCAACTCGATGGACATGACTTTGAGCAAGCTCTGGGAGCTGGTGATGGACAGGAAAGCCTGGCGTGCTGCAGGCCATGGGGTGGCAAAGAGTCAGACATGACTGAACTGAACTGAACCTGATCGTCCAGTGGCTAAGACTCCATGCTCCAAATGCAGAGGCCCGGGTTTGATACCTGCTCAGGAAAATGGATCCCACTTGCCCACAACTAAGACCCAGTGCAGCCAAATAAATATTTGTGACTACTTTATAAAAAGTAAAAAAAACATAAAACAAATTTAGACATTTCTATGGACTTCCCAAGAAGGTCAAGGAGAAGCATGCTCTCCAAACACCTCTGCCCACCTCTCCCCACCCCCACGTTTTCACAACTGTTCACAATGAGGGCATAAAAACCACACCTCCTCCTCTTCTTTCTCGTCATTTGTTTTGCTCGCTAAGTTGTCTCGGACTCTTTGGGACCACATGAACTGTAGCCTACCGGCTCCTCTGTCCATGGTATTTTCCAGGCAAGAATATTGGGGTGCATTGCCATTTCCTCCTCCAGGGGGTCTTCCTGACTCAGGATTCAAATTCGTGTGTCTCCTGCATTGGCAGGCAGATTCTTTACCATTGAGCCACCAGGGAAATCTTCTTTCCTTTCATAGTGACCTAGTATTTCTCTTATGCCTGGAATTTTATGTGGCTAGTTTTCTTTGTCACCTGCTTATCAATAACATTTTCCAAAGGCTCAAACACATCAGAACCATTTAATTTCTGGAAGCCCCTTTTCACTCCAGACTGATGGCATTCTCAACCCCCTACACAGCACTGCCCTCTTCACCCTTCCTCTGTTGTCATCCCTCTGACTCTTGGCCTTTCTCCTGTCTGGTTCCCTTTCCCTGGAACCCCTTTGTGGTTTACTCTCTTATTTTGCTGAAGTCAGTAGCTTCCTGAGAAGGGTGCTTGTCTGAAATGTGTTTATTCTACTTATCTCCTATGGATAGTTTGGTAGGGTATAGAATTCTAAATTGGAAATACTTTTCCTTCAACCTTTCTGAAGTCATAGTTTTTAACTGTTGGCTTCCAGGGCTGCTGTGTAAAAGGTCAAAGTCATTATGATTCCTCACCACTTGTGTGTGATATTTGTTCTCTCTGAAAGATTTTAGGATGTGATATTTGTTCTCTCTGAAAGATTTTAGGATTTTCTCGTTATCCTTCAGTTCAGTAGCTCAGTAGTGTCCGACTCTTTGTGACCCCATGGGCTGCAGCACACCAGGCTTCCCTGTCCATCACCAACTCCCAGAGCTTGTTCAAACTCATGTCCATTGAGTCAGTGATCCCATCCAACCATGTCATCCTCTGTCATCCCTTTCTCCTCCTGCCTTCAATCTTTCCCAGCATCACGGTCTTTTCCAATGAGTCAGTTCTTTGCATCAGGTGGCCAAAGTATTGGAGTTTAAGCTTCAGCATCAATCCTTCCAATGAATATTCAGGACTGATTTCCTTTAGGATGGACTGGTTGGATATCTTTGCAGTCCAAGGGACTCTGAAGAGTCTTCTCCAACACTACAATTCAAAAGCATCAATTCTTCAGCACTCAGCTTTCTTTATAGTCCAACTCTCTCATCACATCTTTATTCTTGGTGTTC